AATTTCTATTGGTCCACCTTATAAGGCAGGGCTGCCCAACAGGTAGATCCCCCAGGTGTTGTAGAACTACAACTCCCATGATGCTTGCATGCCTTTAGAATGCATTTAGAGTGACAAAGCATCAAGGGAGTTGTAGTTCTACAAAATCTGGGGATCTACCTGTTGGGCAGCCCTGTTATAAGGAAATTCCTTATGATTCGTGGATGGTAGAAATCCTTATTAGCATGACTAAAGACATCATAATTATATCTCAAATTCGTCCGGTGAATTTGCCATTCGGAACCGAATTTGGCTTCCCAGAAAATCCTGTGGTTGCGCGAGCGGGCATAGCAGAGAACGCTGTCAATGAGACAGCCACTAGAGGCTCTGGAGGCTGGATTAACCCTCAGTATAAACATAGCAGTTTCTCTGAAACTGCTATGTTTATAAAAAAAGGGTTAATCCTAGAGGGACCTGGCACCCAGACCACTTCATAAAGCTGAAGTGGTCTGGGTGCCTAGAGTGGTCCTAGGCATTCAGTTGGTCGCATAGGAAAGCATTTACAATGCTTTCCTATGGATGCTTGCGTGCTCTCACTGTGATTTTCACAGTGAGAAGCACGCAAGCGCCTCTAGCGGTTGTCAATCAGACAGCCACTAGAGGCTCTGGAGGCTCGATTAACCCTCAGTATAAGCATAGCAGTTTCTCTGAAACTGCTATGTTTATTAAAAAAAAGGGTTAATCCTAGAGGGACCTGGCACCCAGACCACTTCATAAAGCTGAAGTGGTCTGGGTGCCTAGAGTGGTCCTTTAAATTACCCCCCTTTCTTACTCCCCCCCTCCCCCTCTTCTTACACTTCCCCTTCCCCCCTCTTACCCCATGCTACTCCCCTCCCCTCTTCTTGCCCCCCTTTCTTACTTCCCCTCTTCTTACTTCCTTCCCCTCTTGCCCCCTTCTTACTCCCCTCCCCTCTTCTTCCCCCTTTTCTTACTCCCCCCTCCCCCTCTTCTTACTTCCCCCTCCCTCTCTTACCCCTTCTTCCTCCCCCTCCCCCTTCTTGCTCCCCCTCCCTCTTCTTACCCCCCCTCCCGCCCTTCTTACTCCCCCCTACCCTCTTCTTGCCCCCTCCCCCCCTCTGTTACCCTTTCTTACCCCCCCTCCCCTGTGGCGTGGCCAGTGCTCTGCTGTCGCGGTGTGGCGGACAATTGATAGAAGGTGCTGCAGCTCAGTGTGCGCAGCTTCCTGTCAATCGACAGGGTACAGAAACAGAAACTCCTGTTCGTAGCGGAACAGGTTTCTGTTCCTGTACCGATTGACTGACAGGTAGGTGAGCTGCGTACCTTCCTATCACTCGCCGCCACCGCGACAGCAGAGCAGTTGTGCTCGGCCACGCTACAGGGGAGGTGAGTACCAACTGCAGCCGCCTGAGCGCTCTTGACAGAGCGCTCAGGCGGCTGCAGTATTTAAAGGGCCGGCGTATAACACGCACCCACAATTTCTCCCCTATTTTCAGGGAGAAAAAGTGCGTGTTATACGCCGATAAATACGGTATGTTTTAATTGATTAAATTCTATTTTTTTTACATTTTTTTTATTATTCTATCTGTGGTCAAACTACTATATATTATACTATATACTATTATATTATATATTATATTTGGCGCAATCTGATTTTATTGCTTTATTTCCATAATCTTGTGCTGGAAGCTATTCCTCCTTCAAAATGTTATACTTTGCATTTATCTTACAGTCAAGTTTTTATGTTGTATGTAAACACTATCATTATATGTCATACTGACAATTGCATCTTACATACTGTGACAGACCCATCTGTCTGTGAATTACTTTTATTTTCCCTCCATTCATCTGTTTGTTCGGCTATTTCCCCTGTCCGTACAGCCCCTACATTTATTTGCTCTTTTACCGAACAACTGCCAAATGGACGGCCACCCAGCAAAGAAGTGTGCTGCTTGTTAACCTCTTGGCCCCATCAGAATGTTGTAGTTAACCGCAGACACTTCCTAATTGTCGAATGTCGGCTGGGTGGTTGTCATTCGTATGCCGACCACGAGGCGTACGTTAATTGTACCTAGTGCATTCGGTAGTTTGTAAGTTATGAATTTTTATGTGTTTTTTCTGTCATATGTTAAATGGAGTTTTGCCTCTATCCTGGGATATAATTGAATTACTTCCCAATTATCTACTGGATAGAGAGGAGGATTCTGTACATTAAAAGGGGAGTGTTTATGTCTGTAATTCTGTGATTGGTTACATTGTCATTTTTGTCACAGTTTTCAACCAGGTCCCCTAGGGGAGTGTTCACTTGGTGGAAGACCTGTATAAATACCGGGCAGGTAGCCCCATTAAAACCAGATCACTGCTTGACCCTTGTCATTGGGGGGGATTTATATTCATATGGTTTCCCGTTCAGCTGTTTGGATCGTGAAGTATTTCATATGGTTCCTGTTCGGCTAATTGGAGCGTTCGTTAGCTGCTTCTACATTCGGAAGGTGAACGTTCTTAGCGGTGTTAACCCCTCTTATACCTGGGTGTACCGTAACACATACTGATTGCGAATGTATTGTTTGTTAAAGTCTGATTAAAATACAGAAATAGTTTAACCCCTTAAGGACCGAGGACGGTTCAGGACCGTCATCGGCATTTTTGCCTTGAGGACCGATGACGGTCCTGAACCGTCCAAACGGTCTGGGGCTACTTACCTGATCGCCGTCGTTCCCCCGGCGGCGATCAGTGTTCCTCCGGTTGTGGGGAGACTGCCTGCAGCCAGACAGTCTCCCCACGGCAGATTAGGACCCCTGTGGCCATGTGATCGCTTAACACAGCGATCACATGGTCACAATAGGTGTCCATAGTGCTGCCTGCAGGGGGACTGCCTGTACTGACAGGCAGTCTCCCTGCAACTGTAAAATCAAAAAAAAAAATTAAAGTTAATGGTAATAAAAAAAAAAATAATAATTATATATGTATAAATATGATATATAGACATATATTATATCTATATAATATATGTCTATATATCATATATATAATGTCATACTAAGTGTATTTTATATTAATATGTACTTATATTAATATAAAAATACACTTATAATTAAATTACACACGTATATATATAATATATATAATAACTATATATATTGTATATATATATTATTATAAAATATAACTAATAAGTAATTTAAATTAAATAATTTTTTAAAAAAATAATAATAAAAAATTTAAAAAAAATTATATAGCTATATGAAATTTTATTCTAACTGTATTTTAAAATTAATATATATATATTTATATCAAAATACACTTAGAATGAATTTGTATATATATCTATGTATATAAAAATAAATAAAAATAATAAGAAATATACATACGTCCATATACAAAATTACATAAATAATTATATAAATATACACGTAGACTTCAAATATATAAATATGCATATATATTTAAATTCTACGTGCGTATTTATGTAATATTTTTACATAATTCAGTAATTTTATTGATTGCAATTTGAGGGACCTGCCTGCCAACCCAGGCCGAAATTCCAGAGAATTTAATTGGCTAGCACTGTATTTTACCCTGTAACGTTCTACGACACCCTAAAACCTGTACATGGGGGGTACTGTTTTACTCGGGAGACTTCGCTGAACACAAATATTAGTGATTCACAACAGTAAAACATATCACAGCGATGATATTGTCAGTGAAAGTTACTTTTTTTGCATTTTTCACACACAAACAGCACTTTTACTGATGATATAATTGTTGTGATACGTTTTCCAGTTTTTAAACACTAATATTTGTGTTCAGCGATGTCTCCCGAGTAAAACAGTACCCCCCATGTACAGGTTTTATAGCATTTTTGAACGTTACAAGGTCAAATATATGGGTCAAATATTTTTACATTGAAAATGGCCAGGTTGGTTACGTTGCCTTTGAGAGCGTATGGTAGCCCAGGAATGAGAATTACCCCCATGATGGCATACCATTTGCAAAAGAAGACAACCCAAGGTATTGCAAATGGGGTATGTCCAGTCTTTTTTAGTAACCACTTGGTCACAAACACTGGCCAAAATTAGCGTTCAATTTAGTTTTTTTACTTTTTTCACACACAAACAAATATGAATGCTTACTTTGGCCAGTGTTTTCGACTAAGTGGCTACTAAAAAAGACTGGACATACCCCATATTGAATACCCTGGGTTGTCTACTTTAAAAATATGTACATGTGGGGTGTTATTCAGAGATTTATGACAGATAATAGTGTTACAATGTCACTATTGATAAATTTTAAAAATGTATGTTTTGAAACCGCAATATCCTACTTGTACCTATAGCCCTATAACATGCAAAAAAAAGCAAAAAAGCATGTAAACACTAGGTATTTTTAAACTCAGGACAAAATTTTGAATCTATTTAGCAGTTTTTTTCATTCGCTTTTGTAGATGAGTAAAAGATTTTTCAAGTAAAAGTCAAAAAACATGTATTTTTTCAATTTTTCATCAGATTTTTGTATTTTTTTTAAATTAAAATACATGAGATTATATAAATAATGGTATGTAAAGAAAGCCCATTTTGTCCTGAAAAAAACAATATATAATTTGTATGGGAACAGTAAATGAGAAAGCGGAAAATTACAGCCAAACACAAACACCACAAAAGTGTAAAAATATTCCTGGTCGCAAATGTACAACATCGCAAAAACAGTCCAGTCCTTAAGGGGTTAAAAAATTTATAGTGGAAATGCTGAATTTTTGCATTGAAGCTTTCAATTTACATACATACAGTACATACACACACATATATATATATATATATATATATACATATATATATATATATATATATATATATATCAAGGGGGTGTGGCTGCACTCACCTGAACATGCATAAATGGGGTGCTGCTGGGGGCCAAATTATATATTACACAAGATCCAGCGCACTCACCTATCCACTAAACAGCAACTTCAATGTTGAAAGATTTTATTTGTTTTTTTTTTAAAACACCTAATCTAGGCAAAAATAATGGGGGTTTAGTTATGTTATATGTAACTAAACCCCCATTATTTTTGCCCTGATTAGGTATTTAGGTGTTTTTATATGTAACTAAACCCCCATTATTTAGATTAGGTGTTTTTAAAAAAAAAAACGAATAAAATCTTTCAACATTGAAGTTGCTGTTTAGTGGATAGGTGAGTGTGTTGGATCTTGTGTAATATGTATATATATATATATATATCTATATATATAGATATATATATATATATATATATATATATATATATATATATAATATTTTGTGAAAATGTTTTTAATAAGAGTTTAAAACCCCTTTCAAACTAGGCCTTTTATTTAATGATAGTCCAAGCATGCCAAGTGTCATGGAGGGGTTAATATTGTGGGTATATAGGTCATTATATATTAACTAGGTTATCAAGATTGGTTATATCTGAAGGGCATAATGCCTACACACAATGTTCAATTTAAATGAAATTATTCTACTGTTCAGGATGCTTTCACAAATCTCCGCATTTATAAAGCACTCTCAGCATTGAGACATAATGTATGGTATTCTCTGTACCATAAACTTTACAATTATGCAAAGTTGTTGTAGTGGTTAGAGTGACCTTTTATCCCCATTGAAAAACTGCAAATTACTTCAGAAAACCTTGGTATTATAGTATTAAATAAATTATAATAAGAGTACAGCCAGTTCGGTATGTTCAATATATTTTTTTTTTTACTGGAACAGTGTCTAAAACGTGCATAACACAGATATTGTAGTCATATTAAACCCTTTTCATGACAAATGCTGTATTGTACCTTAACGATTAGCAATTTCAACAATTTTTGTTTGTCTTGTTTAACCCCTTAGTGACCAGACTGCTTTTCAATTGTCTTACGGTTAAGGACCAGGGCTCTTTTAAGTTTCTGCAGTGTTTTTGTTTAGTTGCAATTTTCCTCTTACTCATTTACTGTACCTACACATATTATATACTGTTTTTCTTGCCATTAAATGGTCTTTCTAAAGATACTATTATTTTCATTAATCATAATTTACTATAAATTTTTTTATAAAATATGATGATGAAAAAAAAACAAAAAAAAACCCCACACTTTTTCGTACTTAGACCCCCAAAATCTGTTACGCATCTACAACCATCAAAAAACACTCAATAGTTTCAAAATTTTGTCCTGAGTTTAGAAATACCAAATGTTAACATGTTCTTAGCTTTTTTTTTGGAAAGTTATAGGGCTATAAGTACAAGTAGCACTTTCCTATTTCCAAACCATTTTTTTTCAAAATTAATGCAAGTTACATCGTAACACTGATATCTGTCAGGAATCCCTAATTAACCCTTCACATGTATATATTTTTTAAAAGAAGACAACCTAAAGTATTAAACTTGACTCTTTTTATGCAACCATTTTACCACCAATCTATGCCAAATTAAAAAAAAAATTCTTGGAGATTTTTTTGACACACATAGCAATTTAAGAATACATGTACTGAGAACTTTAAGTGTTACTGCCAAAGAACACCCCAATATGTGTTCAGCAACTAATCCTGAGTACAGTGATATAACCCATGTATAGCCATGTCGGGTTCTCTGGGGGCTAAAATACCTTATTTGGAGGCTGCGTATTCCAGTTTTTCAACTTGGAATTTTCACAGCTGGTCATCATGCACCAATGTCCTATTTGGGACATTTTTGAAGCCGGACAATGTAATTAACCCCCATCAAACCATATATTTTTGAAAAGTAAAGAACTGAGGGTATTAAATATGGGGTATTTCCAGTCTTTTTAAATAGCCATGTAGTCACAAACACTGGCCAAATTTAGCATTCATTTTTGTTTGTGTGTTAAAAATACAAAAAAACAATTATGAATGCTAACTTTGGCCAGTGTTTGTGACTAAGTGGCTACTAAACAAGACTGGACATACCCTATTTTGCAATACCATGGGTTGTCTTCTTTTACAAATGGTATGCCATCATGGCGGTAATTCTCATTCCTGGGCTACCATACGCTCTCAAAGGCAACATATACAATCTAGCAAATTTTTATGTGAAAAAAACAGCCTTATATTTAACCCTGTAACTTTCAAAACACTATAAAACCTGTACATCGCTGAACACAAATATTAGTGTTTCAAAACAGTAAAAAGTATTACAACAATTATATCATCACTGAAAGTGTCGTTGGTGTGTGAAAAATGCAAAAAAAATCACTTTCACTGACAATATCATCACTGTGATATGTTTTAATGTTTGGAAATACTAATATTTGTGTTCAGCGAAGTCTCCCTGTTAAAATAGTACCCCCCATGTACAGGTTTTATGGTATCTTGGAAAGTTACAGGATTAAATATAGTGCTAGCAAATTAAATTCTCTGGACTTTTGGCCTGGGCTGTCAGGCAGGTCCCACAAATTGCAATCAATAAAATGACTTAATTATGTAAAAATATTACATAAATATGCACGTAGGCTTTATATATGTATATATACATAATATTAAGTAAAAAGAAGCCTTCCGATGCTCTGCCTTACTGCCAGGCTCCAGATGGGTGTCACGGCTTACCTGAGGTGGGAGTCCGGTAGGCAGAGATTTATGCTCACCCTTGCAAATAAACTCAGACCAAGGTGACCAGGTAAGAATCCACCTGGCCTGTGAGTCTATGCACAGGGGCTGTGCAGGATATTGCTCCAAGTCGCAGTACAGGCAGGAAAATCGTCGAGGATAAGCCAAAAGTCAGAGGGTGCCAGATGTCAGGATAAACGAGGGTAAGCCAAAGTCAAGGGATGCCAGAGGTCAGGACATACAATAAGAATGAGCCAAGGTCAGGAGCCGACTGGAGAACACTGGATCACAAACACAAACACAGGAACCAGAGCCAATGAACTGACACTGCCCTTAAGGAGAGGCAGTGTCTTATACCTGGCTAATTGGGCATCAGCTTCAAGGGGGCTGAGATTGATAAGAGCAGCCCCAGGTAAAATCCAGTCCCCAGTGCTGGGCAAGGCAAGGATAAACATAATACAGAAATAAAAATTGATGTGTGGTCCAGAGGCAAGATAGTAAGACTAGGACACAGATGGACCACAGTTCAAATTCTCTGTTGGGCACTTCTGGGGTGACTACGTCTGGATGTCACGGTGAGAACAGTGACAGTGGGGCAACCCAGAAGTGATTGCTGGGGAGCAATCACCTGGCGTCCCGGCAGTGAGGGGGGTAATGCAGGTTGCCTCGACATCGAGGTATCGCTGCAATACCATCATAGCGGCTGGAAGGTAAGTCCACTGTCCTTAAGGACCGTTTTTTGGCGGACGTACTGATACGTGTGTGGATGGGAAGGATAAAAAAGTAATTTCTCCCTAACTCCTTTAGTGTACACAACTTTTCATTAGTCATGGAAAATAGAAAAACACATACTGAATCACAGTTTTACCAGTTATATTTTATAGCGAACTATCACAGCCAGAAAAAAAATGAAAATAGCCAACTACGTGAGGTATAGGACTTTGTGGTTTTTTATACTTTTAATATCATTTTATTAGTAGTCTCTGCCCAGTTATCAAGTAATATTTTGTATTTAGCACAGTTCTGATATATAGTCTTAGTGCTATATGTGTCCCTCAGCATTTTATAAATGTTGGAAAATAGATGCATGTGTGGAAATGCAGGGAAAGTATAAAAAAAATTTATCTGAGGATTGTGACACAAATGTTAAATGCATTCTATGAGGGCATGAGTGGAATATAGATTGTATCTTTTATTGGACGTAATCTACTTAGATGTTGCAACAGCATTTAATGTGGTTTAACATGGAAGATTACTATATACATGGAAAAATAGAAGAATAGATGTAAGTGCTTGCTCTTGAATAGAACTGTCTTAAATATAGAATCATTAAGGGAAAAAAAATAATTGTAAGATAATAGAAATACAACAGAAGTCAACTGATGACATAACAGCAGACCCAAAATCCTATGTGGTGGTCATGATAAGAATGTCAGGTGGTCACCACAAAAAGGGTAAACAAACTAAACTCCCCAAGTGGGAGATGAAGTACAAATAGAATAGACTCCAATATGAAGTACAAATAGAATAGACTCTAAACCAAACAACTGCATGATACCAGAAACAAAAAAGACAAAGGGGAGTAAAATAATAGTTTAAAAGTAGGGAATCAGACTTACAACTTCAAAGTTCTTTCTAACTCTTTTTGTAATAGTTGGTCTTTTTATTGCCTGATAGACTTTTCTTATATTCACATCTGAACGACTACTGTTTGTCGCACTCTGGTATATGAGTTATATGTGATTCCCTGCCTTGGAACCATTATTAAATGTTAAGTTTTATTTTATACTAAACTCCCATTTGTTTCTGTTTGTGGCACTATGCAGTAGTTTGATCCATAGTCCATTTTATTTGTACAGTCTCTACCTTTTACAAACTGTCAGCTGTTAAGGGGATAACCAAACAGACTGCTATCCCTTAAGATCACACGAGTCCACAGCAACTTGTACTTGCCATCAGCTCCACTTGCAGACTGCAGCTTCCCAAGTCCCAATTGAACAAGTCGGTTTTCTCCTTTTACTCCACAAGCTAGGGAAACCCCAATGTCACAGGAGAAGGCAGGAGAAGCGACAGAACTACAACACTTTACCGAACCAACAATATCTGTTTTGGGGGAGGTAATTGCTGAAAGAAGATTTGCGAATACCTGTAGCCAGCAGTCTAGGCAAAATCTTCAATGTCAGTCATAAGCTAGTAGTTACAAAAGCCCTGTAATTTATTGTCACATATAAAAATATGTATTGATTCCCAAGGGGGAAATTTAATTTTACCTCTCAATAAATACATTATCAAAGGTAAAAAGCTGCTTAGGCAAGCTATAAATTAAACAAGAGAAAACTAGAAAAGTTCAAATTATTTACACTTGCAATAAAGGTGTATCTTAAAGCCTAGAGGAGTTATGATAACATTATAGTATTTTATACAGCCAGCTTTAAACAAATGATTTTTTTTCTGAGTTTCTTTACATTTATGTCTTCACTATCAAAATTGCTTTCACATTTTTTTTTTCCTTTTTTTTTTTTTCCTTTTAATAAATATAACCAGTAAACCCATTCTCTCTTCCTTGCTTTTTTGGCAAGAATTAAAATTTACAATTGAAAGAAGCAAATTTCTCTAGCAAAGACTCATTCTGTCTAAACTAATATCTTATGGAATATGGAAGTGGAAACTGAATGCTCCTCTTCCTTCATACAGTTATCATGTTTTAATTAGCAACTTTATTCAGTCACTCTATCTGAAAATTGGAGAGAATAAGAGAGGGCTCACTGTCAATCAGTTCAGAACAAGTATTATTTTTAGGTGTTATTTCACAGTCTGCCCAACATTCCCGAAAGAACCTTTCTGCTACATCATTAGTACAATATTGTGCAGGAAATTTTGATGTGGAAGTTATGCTAGTCTCTGCGCTTTTGCTTCTGCTTATTTAAATGCACTGCTTGGATGGTTGCTGTCCTGTTGTGGCCCATGTTTATCCAATAATTATTTTTCTATAGGCACTGTTTTTCTTGCTATCTCTAATATACATACGTTGTCCTCAGGGCTGGTGAGGACTTTTGCTAGACAGGTGAAGATGAATTTTGCCACCCCGCCTCTCACATCCCCCCCAAAAAATGCATTTTCCCCTTTATGTCCTTTAATTCCCCTTTTGGATTTCTAACCCCCTTTTGTGTTTCTTATCCTCTCTTTTTGAATGTCACCCCCTTTAGTATATTGTATCCCCCATTTTTTCCCTTTGTGTGTCTCTTTGTACCCTAGCTCTTTGTGTGTCTCTTACTTTACTCAGCCCCTTTGGGTGTCTTTCTTCCCTTACCTATCCCCTCTGCATGTGCCTTCCCCACAGCACCATGTCTAATTCTCCACCTAGCCCCTCTGGGTGTCTCCCCCTCAGCCCATGTCATCCTCTTTTGCTCCTTCCATAATCCCTGTCTCTCTTTTGTCACTTATTCAGACCATCTGTGTCTCTTTGTGCCCCCAGGTCCTCTGTGTATATGTCTCCCTCCTAGCCCCTTTTGTGTGTCTCTTTCCCAACACCTCTGCATGTCTCTTTCCCACCCAGAACCTTATCTCTTTCTCCCCCAGCCTCTCTTTGCCTCTGTCTTTCCTCTCCCCAGCTCCTATGGATGCCTCCCCCAGCCTCTCTTTGCCTCTGTCTTTCCTCTCCCCAGCTCCTATGGATGCCTCCCCCAGCCTCTGTCGTTCTCTTCTGCCTTTTCCTCAGCCCCTCTATGTATCTGTGCTCCCCCATCCTTTCTGTTTATCTCTTAGTCACACCAAATCCTTTTGTGTGTCTCTTTCTCCCCTTCCTACCCTTTCTGTGTTTTTCTTCCCCCCATTACCTTGTCTTTTTCTCCCCAGTATATTTTTTCATCCCCAAGCACCTCTGTGTCTCTTTGTGTTCCCCAGTCCCCTCTAAGTGTATCCCCTTCCTTATCCCATATGTGTATCTTTTTCCCTTTCCCCAGCCACTGTCTGTCTATTTTCCCTTGCCCGGCCCCTCTTTGTCACTCCCAGCCCCTCTGGATGTCTTCCCCCCCATGCATTTATGTAACTTTTGCCCCCTTTCCCAACCCCTCTGTGTCTCTTTGTGTCCCCCCAGGCTCCTTTCTCTTTTGTCCCCCCCTTTGAGGTTTCATTTCCCCATCCTGTGTCTGCTCACCTTCTCGTGTAGTGTGGCCGAGTTTCTCTATCCTATACCCAGTCTGTTTGGCACTCACAGCGAGCACTTCCTCTCAGACTGGGCATTGGATACAAAAATTCCTCTGCCATGGTACACTTGGCTATACTACTTGGAGTAACTGGCTGCATGGGAAGTGCTGTGCTGTA